GAATTCTGGGAGTTGAAGTCCACTCACCTTAAAGTGGCCAAGTTTGGACAACACTGACTTAAAGTGATCTCTAGGATTCTGTGGGGTCAGATCCAGTGGGAAAAATGGAATGTATTTCTGTTTTATTAAAAAGAGAGAAAGAGCTTTTGCCTCGTAGAATGACTGAAAGATGAAACACTCAGCACTTAAAATCTCACAGAGAAAAATATCCGTAGAGAAGTTTGACAGTTTAGTTCCACTTGTTTACTGCAACTGTTAAGCAAACAGGTTCGCTAAAACAGAGATACACAAAAGAGACTTTTTGAGGATAGACCAACCCCTGGCAGGTTGATCCTTTGTCTTGGATTGAACCGAATTCGAAACCTACTTTGATTTTCGTAGAATAAAATGATTGCCGCCTATTTTTTCTTCTTCTTCTTCTAGCAGACCTGGAGAGGAAAAAACCAACGGAGCAAAACCAGTTCAGCCATTTGGAAGAACCAGAGCTTTGGGTCGCATTGCCAAGGGATGTTGACCAGACCCTTCCTTGCCGTCGCAGATCAGGGGTAGAAACTGAGAGGCTCCAGAGAACCCACGGGGGGGAATTTATTAATTCTCAGGGTGGGTATGAGGACCTGGATGATCATGTAGGGCAACAGCAGGCAGCGGTCTCGAAGAATGGGAAAGAAGAACCAGGAATTCCGTTAGGACACCTCCTCCGGTTGAGATCTGAACTCGATGTGCACAAAGGAACTCTCCTGGGAGAGTCCCAGTACAAATGTACTGTTTGTTGGAAGACCTTTTGCCGAAGGAACGTTCTCATCACGCATCAGAGGATCCACACGGGGGAGAAACCCTACAAATGCCCGGATTGTGGGAAAAGCTTTAGCCAGCGGTCCCACCTCATCCTCCACGAGCGGACGCACACCGGGGAGAAGCCGTACCGTACAAGTGCTTGGTCTGTGGCAAGCGCTTCAGTCAGCATCCCCACCTGGTGAAACACGAGAGGATCCACACGGGAGAGAAGCCGTACAAGTGCTCCTTCTGCGAGAAGAGCTTCGGCAACAGGTCGACTCTGACCACCCACAAGCAAACCCACACCGGGGAGAAGCCATACGCGTGTTCGGACTGCGGGAAGAGCTTCGGCAACCGCTCCTCTTTGATTGCCCATAGCCGAACCCACGCGGGAGAAAGGCCCTACAATGCTCCGAATGTAGGGAAATCTTCAGCCATCAGTCAACCCTCATTAGACATGGACAAATCCATAATGGTGAGAAAGTTTCATAGCGCTTGGAAGCTGTGAAGAGCCCAGGTTTGGATTTTGGGGTAGAGAAGAAGTCTTGCTTTGGGGACAAGGCGCTGTGGCCGAGGACAAATTCGGTGACTTAGGGAGAATCTCTTCCTGTCGGTCTGAGAAATGGGAATGGCAAAGTCCTCACATGCAGATGGCTTAGAGAGTAACAGAATAAGGAAGCAGAGGCAGCCAAGGGGGATAGTCAAAATAAGCCATGATTGTGGCTGTAATTATTTGACCAAAGGCCCACCCCTTTCTTTTGTGAGTTCCAAATAAAACAAAAGTTTAAAAGATGGGGCTTGGATCACATGATTGTGGCTGCCATTTTGACTTTTTTGCCTCCTGCAGACACCTTGTAATTTACCCACCTTGGATGACTTAGAGCAATGTCAAATCCAGTGTACTGCATGTACATGAAATTCTGACTTCCTTGTTGGCTGCAGATTATCTCCACCTTTTACTGCATGTAAAAGAAAGCTCAGCCTTTCACAGCACATGTGTCAAAGGGGAGACAGAAGAAAGGGCAAGAAGGTTGTTTTCTGTGCAAACCCTGGTTTCTGGTAACCCTACAGACGAACACAGAATACATGGTTGTACACACACACACAAATAGATATACAGTGGAACCTCGGTTTACGAACTTAATTCTTTCCGCAACTCTGGTCGTGACCCGAATTGTTCGCAACCCGAAGCAAATTTTCCCATAAAGTTCAACGTACTTACCGCTAATCCGTTCTGGCGTGGAGGACAGGGAGGCGGCTATTGCTTGGAGGGAGAGTCCCCCTCCCTATGACCACGTGTCAGG